GCATATTATGTAATTTTGATTTGTGGTGCACTAATAAACTAAATTCAACCTTGGATTGGTTAGTTTAAATATAGAGTCAAAATGCATTATGAGAGATAAATTGACTTTCTGTTATTGCCATACTTCCTGTGGAGGAAACTGTGAACACAGAGGTAATCTTAGTATTTTAGAAAATTTCATTTTGCCCACAATGGGACAACGATTCAGAGTGAGACTAGACCTATTTTAGATCAGTTTAATTCTCACCTATCTAGGACACATGCTGTTAAAGCTGATTTGCTGACATGGGTATAGAAGACAGTGGTGGCTCGTGGCTAAAATTAGTGGGGGCGCTGTTCCAAAAAAATTTAACCTTTAAAAATTGTCTGAAAGGATTGGATTATTTAATTAATGTCAAAGCACACAAGGGCTATCTGTCTAAAGGGAGGGATGCCTTTGTGCAAGACTTTCTAAGGAAAACTGGCTCGTATACACGTATACACGTTACACATGGGGAAAACCACGAAAATACGCCCATGCAGCAACCGTTCGGGATTCGACCTCGGACTGACACCATGTTCAGCTCTTTACCGCTCGGCTGCTGGTGGGCACAGTTGTCTAAAAGAAGCAAACTGTATAAAAGAAAATTTATTTTAACTTCATGAAATCTTAAAAAAAAAAATTAAACATTTCCTAATTACTTTAACCAAAATTGTTACAATTCAATCTTTGTCCTATTCTTTAAAATGAATCCAGTCTTTTTTTAATTTGCTGAAGATCATAATTTTCTTCTTGACTCTGGATGACTAGGAATTTTTTTTATGAAAGAATGAGCGCATTTAGTCTTTCCGAATTCCTAGTGCGTCTTAAAATTTTTCATTCTTTTCATGTTGAAAGCCGCATTCTGCCTCGGATGTAGTCATGGGAACTCTCAGAGATTTTTATCTGTTTTTTCATTCACTAGAACTATTTTAGATTATCAAAATTAAAAAACAACCTTATAGTTAGCGAGTAAATGAAACATCGATTTCGAGGGCAGCTAAAGGTCTCTCCTCATCAGAGAAAGATACATAGAAAAAAATAGGAATCACAGAAAACGGGTGCTTATCACACTGCACGTGGTTATAACTAGATTTTTAATCAGAGTTGCACTGGCCGCCTACTTTTACTGAGCCAGGCTGTCTGATCAAGCATAAATAAATTTAGCGAAGTTAAAATGGGAGCGAGGGCAATGCACATACGCTCAAATCTGAACTTCATATAATGGAAAGCAACCACTGAACGGATTTTTATACCCCTGTAGTACCAAGTGCGAGGATTAACGCATCTATCGGCAAAAATAATGAATTAAACAGTAAATTTTTAAGGCATTACGGCATCCTTCCTAATGGTTCTTATGGTGAAGTCACCTCGTGGAGAATACCACCGCCCGGGAAAAGAAATCACTTTTCCAACAACATCCAAAATTTCGGCACTGCAGCGACAGTGCTCAACTCTTACCGCTCGCGTGCTGCTTTTCTGTGTCGCGCCGACAGCCAACCCACGCGCTGAACTTGAAGCGCGCAGTTCCAAACAAAGAATTTCGTACTTTTCAGAAGTAGGGGGTACCTACTGACATTAAGCTTAAGGATTGTATTGTAAAAATATAAAGAAATTAAGACAAAGGGCATGCTATATTAAATATTAAAAATAATAATAAGTGGAAATAGGGGGTGCTGCAGTTCCACAGTGCTTATTATGAGCCGCCACTGATAAAAGACCTGGATTCTTCTACTCAGAGCCTTGACTTCATATTGCAGAAGATCTCTACAGAGTCCCTATGTACTCAGAATAATGGTTGCATGTTAAGTCAGTGAAAAACTGTCCTCTACTATTTTTGCAGAAATGGTATTTGATTACAATTGCAAAATTTCAAAATTAATGGATAATCTTCCTGCCAGCATGGCATCTATCATTGAAAAAAAAATATCAAATTAATTTCATACATATTTCGAGAAAGCAGCATTAGTATATATAGATACATTTAATCACACAATGTTTTTCTGTGCTGAAAGAATTAAATTTCAGGTTCAGCTTTTTTTATTTGTAAGAAGTTTGGCTTCATTTGCTAATCTTCTGCCATTAAGATTTTAATTTTCTTATGAATGGTACTTCTTTGTTTCATGTTCAACTTTACTTTTGTTTTCTGCTCATATGTAATGATTCTAAGAGACTTTTTTTCATGTCTGCATCTAATGTATCTCTATAATCAATAAAAATTTTATTTATCATATGTTTTCATGGATGTCAATTATAGCTTTCAAGACAAGATTTTTCTGGAACAGGCATTAAGTGAAAGCATAATGTATATAATATAGTTATGAATTCCCTCTGCTCAAAAATATGATACACATTCATAATTGATTTTGCCCAAAATTATGGTATACATTTATAATTGAAATTAAGACTGAGTAAGTCTTAAGTGTATAAATAAAGTTCATTTGATGTAGAACGTAGTCTTTTCCTTATTTTTCATTTTGTGACTAAGGTATATGCAGCTTTGATGCTCCTAGAATTTCACAGTATGGAGTACCAATCACTTCAAAAATATAAATTTTTGAAAAACCACCATTTGTATTTTAGCAGTAGATTCTCACAATTTAACAAGTACTTTTATGTGTGTAGGATAGTTTATCTGAGATTTTTGAATGCTGTAAAATGGGTATCCATCAGTATATTTAGTGCAAATTCTCCAATTTTTTACATCATCACATCACTAGAATTAACTTTTTTCATGATATTTGTATAATATTTTTAGTGATGTGAAATTAATTTCATTCATGATGAAGAAACTGAAGTTTCTCCCTTACTTAAAAAAAATAAATAAAGATATATGTAAATAAATTAAAATAAATGAGAATATGTGTAATAAGAACTTTGATATTAAATTTAATTATTCATAATTTAAATTTTGATATTATAGTCTTTATTCTAAAATAAAAAAAAAATTGCTTGGATGGTTGTCATTTAATTTTCAGTTATGTGCATATATATACATATATTATTGTTGTAGACTTATTGATAGTATAGCTACTGATCCATAATGAATAGCAAATGTGGCAGCCAAGGGAGATTAAATAGTATTCAGTTTTATTTCAGTTAACATTTGTGGCCACAGTTTACTTGGCACTCTAATTATGCCTACTTCAAACATAATATTTAAGATAAAAAATACATAAATCAAAATTACAGTTTAAATTATCAATAGCCCTTTAATTTCTCATTTCAATTTGGGTATGCATATGGATATCGTGTTGAGTTTTGCAGGACATTTCAAGGACAGAATAAACTTCTTTTGCTTCCATGAGCAAATCGACCTCCTCTTTGGCTTTACAGCTCTCCAACTAAACTATGTAACTTCGCTGATGTTTTTGATGCAGATAAAATCAAACACCAGCTAACTGTATCTTAGTTGTTTCGCTAGTATATGGATTTTCTCCTAAAGACACTTGATTATAGTTCTTTACTTATTAATCTGTACAAATTTTTCAAATATATACCATATTGTTGGATGGAGGATCTAATATTATAATACAGTCAAAAGTCGTTAATTCGGACACCCATAATCCGGAATGATCTATAATCCGGACCTCAAAGCTACAAACTTTCTGCGCCGACGCATGCGCGTAAGACCTTTACCGCTGTGAATTCGCGTGTGCGCGTGCGCAAATACGTTTACGAATGCGCGTTTTAATGTATAACGGACAGTATAAGCTAGGCTAAAATTATCGAATTATCTATTTCAGTTAATGTTGTAGATTGTGTTGTTCGAATTGGATCCGGATTATTTTTTTTTGCAGACTTGAGAACAATTTTTTAAAAGTAAGCTTAAACTTTCATTATGTCAAATAGAATTTCCGAATATATTTACTAATATGTAAGATATACAAAGCGAAAGTATCTTTCGGAGTCGGTAACAAAAGTGGAATTGCTGCAAAAATTGCATATCCTTTGTTTATCTAAACTTTAACGTTTGTTTATCAAACTTTGTTTATCTTAACGCCGCGGCGGCGTGCAATGAATTGGAAGTTGATCTGTCAGCACTATCCTTATCTTAAGGCGATGTTTTTATTTTTTTGCTTATAATTGCTTACTCATGTAGTATTTCATCTCTCCGTCTTTTGATATGATTTAATCAATCCTCGTCATTATAATTTCTTCCGATAGGAGAAAGTGCAGGGTTATTGAAAACGAAAAATTTCGATTGACAATTTTATCGGTTCTCGACACAAGCAATTATAGGACTTGACAGCGGAACTTTGTAACTGAACAAGAAATTATGTCTGTATAGAATTAAGAGAATTATTATCACTAAAAAACGAAGCAACTTAAACACTTACAAAGAAAGGTTAATAAAGTAAACCTAAATATTAAGCTTTTTTTTGTAAATTTTGATACCCTTTAGATCATAATGTTCTTTATTTCGAATTACGTTTCATTTTTTGAATTTTATAATTTCTGCATGCCATTTTACCAGATTTAAACTGATGATCTATTATCCGGAAAAATCGATAATCCGGAATCGCCGAAGTCCCGACGAGTCCGGATTAACGACTTTTGACTGTAGCATGTAAAGTCATTTTCTAAAGAAGAATCTATCAAGTCTTGTTTGAAAGAATTATTTGTTTTGCAGGCTCACAAATATCAGGATCGTTGTGCCAGTTATGTGCATTTTTTATGTATGTGTTAACATTACCAGTCATTAATTTTTGAATGCATCTCATATCTATGATAATTTATCATGAATACTTACATGTATTTCATGAACAGGATTTAAGTAGTATATTAAGGTAGTTACTTCAGCTGATGTTATTAAGGTGAAGAATTCTCTTAGTGTTTTTTAATAATATCTAAATTTGAATTATGCCTCAATATAAGCGTAAATAAAATACTGCTCTTAAGCAAAACAGTGTTCGCATTTTATAAATGTGCTAATATTTAAAATTGTTTAATATCTCAAATTTTTTTTTTTATCTTTTCAGAGTCTGTCAGAGATGGTATATGCTTTCAAGGGATTTCAGTTTACGGAAAAAAATAATTATAAAGAAAGCACTAAAAGCAAGTCAGTTCAATAGTTTAATACATCATCATTTCTCAAATGTGCTAGAAGAATTTCAATTGTTAAAAACTACAGGAACTATGACATTGCTTTCTGTGAAAAAAAATACTCTATGGAAACTCTCAAATAGAAGCAGTAAATTAAAGAAACTAGTTTTAATGTCATGTTCTTTAGCTTCTGTTTCGTTAAAAGATATGCCTTCTAGTTTATTACACCTAAGTGTTCGAGGCTCTGAAATTTATCCTGATCTATTTTTTGGCACAAATCCACATTTTGCTGTTCCTCATCTCACTTGTTTAGACATTGGAGGCGTGAGTAATTTTCTAACTAGTCAGGATTTGCATGTGTTTTCAACTTTAAAATCATTGCGTTCATTATACCTTGAGGGTTGTTTTCGCATTAATAATGGTGGCATTGAATCCATTATCACTATTTTACCTCAGCTTGAAATTTTGGATGTTGAAGGAACTGATATTTCTAATGAAGGTGTAAGAACAATATTTGACAATTGTGCAAATATCAGAGAACTGTATATTGGCCATACATCTATTAGTGATGATGCTTTCTCAAGAATTGTGAAAAATAAAATGCCACATCTAACATTTTGCTGTGTAAGAAATACTAATATATCTTCAGCTAGTATACATACCTTTATAATGCACCATTTAAGTAACAAAAAATTAATGGTCGAAGCAGATTTTGATTGGTCCAGTAGTATTTTTAAGCCTAGCGATCTGAATTCTGAAATGAATGATTCACTTCCTTATCTTGCTGATATAAGATGTCACCATTATTTAAATAATAAATGTTAGTAACAAAATTCCATTCTATTTTAAACCAATAAAAATAGTTAATATGATTATTAATTTTGGTAACCAAAACTTTTGATATGCCTGTTTTCTTAAAGCAGGTAAATGTTTTATGTTATAGATTTTAGTGGCTCGAGCAACTTTTGTAAATTTTTATGTTAAATTTTTGTTCTTAATCATTTAGCTAAAAAATGTTTTTATAATTTTTTTTTTTTTTGCTATGTTTTGGTTTACTAGTTACGTATATTAAATATACTATCCAATGTATTTCTATTTTTTCATTCTTTTATTGATTGGTTTGTGAAGGAAGATTAAGTAAAAAAATTTAAATGTCCCACTAATGGGTAATATCTGTTTAATTTATCTTATAATAAAATATTATAAATTCTTGTGAATAAATTGATATGTAATTTAATATTTAAAATAGATTATATTAATGCAAAGATCTTACAAGACTAACTTCAAAAAAGGAGGAATATGTTATATTCTTGTATCTAGAATTTATAGTAAAATTAAAAAATATCATAAATTGCATATGTATAAAGAATTAAGCCATTTTTATCACATTTTCAGAGGTTAAAATAGTTTTCAGATCTTAATTCAAATACTGCTTTTATTTTGCACATCTAATAATGAGGGGGATGGCAGAAATATTTAGTTTAAAAAAATTAAGATTTTACTGTTAAAAGCAATGTCTTTATTTGTATGAATTGTGAAGAAGTTAGATGGTTTGTCTTATATAATGGTAAACCATATTCATATTACAAATTCTTCTGTTTTTATTCTAAAGAAGTAAGTATGTCATTTGTGCTTGGTTTTAGTATGTATCATTTTGTATTTACGTACAATGTATATTTGTTGTAAAAGTAATATCATGTTTTTAATATATTGACTTGTTATGTTTGTAATTATTTTAAAATTTATGACTTCAGTAAAGAAATATTTTATTTTTGTTTCATCATTCAGCTATACTTTAAATTTCCATAGAATATGAACATTTTTATGTAATTTGTTTCAATTTATCGTCTTTGAAACAGCTTAAAATCAAATTATAAATTTAACAATGATTTTAAACTTTGCAGACTAGAAAGAATGAACACAACAGAATAAAGAATTTATAATAGAAATTGATGCAACCTTATAAATTGATGATATTATTTTGCGATTAGCAAGTCTCTAATATCATAGATTTCTATTGAATTTCTCAAGAATTTTTTTTTACATATATTCTAAAAGTATAGTTAAATGTTTTGATCTATGCAGAACTTAGTTGAATGTATCTTGAAATGCAAAATATATAATGTCATTGGAAAATAATGATAGCTGGAGGGGGAGGGGGGCATTTGAAATATCAAATATAATTCTCTTGTTAAATCTATCATAATTCTGATATTAAATATAGCAAAATAACATAAGTTATAATAAACATAAACCTAATGATATGAATAAGAAAAATTTGCAGTTTTATAATATCAAAGTTTAATAAGAAACTACTTCAACATCAGCTATTTTCACTCCCACAGATGAATGAAAAAATACTGTTTAACCTTGGAAACTATAGTCTTGCAAATTTACGTATGTTTTGTTGATTCGTGTTGCTTATTATTTCGATACTTTCTGACTATCCGCAGTCCGACCAGAAAGCCGCGAAAAAGTGTTAACGCTAGAACCGCTGGATTTTCGATATACCTAGAACCGCGGTGCGGGTCAATATGACCCTAGATAGAAAACATCTAAAAATATGCACAAGTTATTACTTTAGTTAACTAAAACATTTTATTTTTCTGCAACAATCAATATCTCTCAGAATTCTAGTTAAATATTTTTAAATCAATGGCAATTACCTAAATGTTTAGAAAATTGTATTATTTGAAATTTTATTTCCTTAAGTACTGATAACAAAGTAGTAAAACATGTTTTTTCCAATTTTGGTGGGAAAACAGAGTATATCATTTAAATAAGTTTAGACATTATTTTAAAAAAATAAAATAAAAATTTTACTGGTTACTTACTAGTTGCATAGATTTTTAAAAATCCAATTTATTGTATGCATTTTGCGCAAAATTTAGTTATAAGTTTTGTACATTTACTACAAATGGGTGCTTTGCATTTTGTGCAAATATCTTTTGTTTTATTTTCACATTTTGAACTGTGGCATCGGACTCGTTTACCTTAATTTGTGGTTGTCCGTCTTTTCAATGTTCACCCATATCTCACCTTTTTTTGTCGGGAGAGAACGAACTTTTCTCTCAGTTCTTCAACTAAGTCTTGAATGAGTTGCCATCTACTAATAGATTTTCCAGATATGGCTCTGTATAAAACCCAAGCATTGATAGCAGTAAAGTCCAAAATACTGTTACGAAATGTACAGGCGCGGTAAGATGGTTTCCCTGCAGAGCAGTTTTAGGGTTGCCATAAAATGGCAAGGGAAGGCAGGGTTGCCACATTTGGCGACAAAATTGGCGATATACCATGGCCGGATGGAGAACCTTCTGGAAGGAATTCTTACGGTTAGCCCAGAAGTTTTGGAACAAGCCGAAGCTATAAACACCCTCTGGTCCTCGTCAGGGAGTGTGTGTGTGCCTCGTCTAGCGGCGATAGTCTTATTGAGCGAGTCCTCGAATTCCTAGCGCCGAGTTGGTCGTCGAGTGCATCGAGTCTTTTATGCATCGTCGAGTTTTGTCTTAGCTGCCTGAGTCCGAGAGCTATACTCTTGTTCTCGTCGATGCATCGCGGGGAGAGTCTCGAGAGACGTGGAGTTCCGAGAACGACCAAACAGGGTTAAAGTTGTAGTCTGGTGTTTTGCAGTGAAGCTGTCTCCACCGTTATTTTCCTGAACAGTGTGGAGGCTGTGTCGCTGAATGTGTCACGTGTTTATAACATTCGACGACTGTAAAAGTGATTTTGGATGTCTTGATTAGTACTGTCTAAATAAAAGTGTGTTCGATACTTCACAGTGTCGTCGTTATTCACCTCCAATCTACGAACCCCCGTCGAACGTGAAGGAAGAAAAAATGTAACAATACTATTATATTCTGCAACGGTAAACCTATGTGAAAAAGACTTAACAGTA